GGAGATTTAAAATGTCACCTGTCATGTGGCTGCCTTTGAACTGGAGTAGCCTGTTACTAGATGAGCCTGGAGTCTGTCTCTTGGCCTTAAATCACCACCATAAACCCGGGAAGTCGATGATTCCTTTGTTTTCTGAGAACAGTTTCAGTGTGCTGGCTGGCAGGTCCATAGGGATGGCAGAAGTGAAGAAAATGTAGAGCCAGAGGAAAAAAGATACACAGACTTCTTGAGATTTCTCTGAAGCTATGGAACATGATGAATTAACGACGGGTTAAGTATACTTTTCATTATAAATGTTAATGCTTTCACATCTTTCATTAGTGGTATGTATGAAAAAATATTTAACATATTATCTATAAACCAAACAACAGAAAGGGATGCCATTTACTATTTATAGTTTATTTCAGAAATCAATGAATTTAATTTAATTAATAAACACTGGTAACATACCTTTTTGTATCTCTGTAGTTGTACTGTCTTGCAACTCCTGCTGCATCTGTAATATGTAAAATATTATTTATAATGTTTAAGTTAAACAAAAGACATTATTTTGAGAATGATACATCATTTATTAAGTCTTTCATATAAAAATTTCAGAGGCTAGATCGAACTTGAGAATTGCTTAAATAAAAAAAAACTCCATAAATAAAATTCCTTATTTTAAGTTTAGATAATAGAGAACATATATGTGTTATGTGGTTTGGATTAATCTGATAAAAATACAATTAATATTCCTATACTGAAATAGTAGATACTTTGTGGTGATAATGATATGATATCCAATACCTTCACAGATTTTAGGTATAAAGACATATTTTCCTAACAGGTTTAGGAATAGCTTGAGAGACAGTTTTCCATACCGTTTCTGTGACAAAAACCTCATAGATAGGCTTTATAAAATTAGTAAATGACAATAGCATCATCAGACAGGCCTTGTAGAATAACTCAGTATCAGATAAAGGGAGAAGCCTTTATTGGAGGAATCTTATATTATCTTTCATTAACGCTATATAAAATGTAGAGTTTTACATGACTTGAACTAAGAAACTACTAATGTTATTATTTTCTTTTCTTCCAAAAGCTCTTCTCCTAAATATTTCCTACATGTAATAGATTTTATTAGTTCATTATACCCCAGTCACAAATACTTTCATAATACATACATTTTACTTAGATTAAAAATCAAATACTTTTCATGATAGACTGCTTACTGTTACCCTTACAAAAGTAAGCTAGAGAAAAGGAAATGTTAAGAAAATTATAAGGAAGATATAAAGTATATTTACAATACTGCACTGAATTTATCAATACCGTAAGTTTACTTCATGTGTTTCTGAGATGAATCATCTGTCTGAAAATGCAGGCAAAGATACAGATCTCAAACTGTGGTACATATCAAGCAAATCAGCTTTTTCTTATAATGTTATTTCTCTCCTTCTTGGAAGCACTTTATGCATCGCTAGTGGTACTTTCTTTGGGTTCTATGATTTACACTATTAAACTAAACATGATGAAAAATACAGGAAGTCCTAGCTAGAGCATTCAGACAAGAGAAAGAAACAAAGGGGATCTATTTGGAAAAGAAAAAGTAAAATTACCCGTGTTTGAAGATGATATAATTTTATATTTGGAAAACCTAAACACTCCCCCTAAGAACTGATAAACAAATTCAGTAAAGTTGCAGGATAAAAAAATAAACATACAAAATCAGTAACCTTTGTATATACCAACATTGAACAATCTGAAAAAGAAATCACAAACTATTGTCATTTACAATAGCTCAAACAAAATAAGATATGTAGGAATACACTTCACCTAAGAAGTGAAAGACCTCTACAGTGAGAACTATAAAACATTGATTCAAGAAATGGAATAGGAGACAAAATTGAAGATATTCCATTTTCATGGATTGCAAGAATCCGTATTGTTAAAATGTCCATCCTACCCAAAGCAATCCACAGTCAATGAAGTCCCTATCAACATACCAATGATATCTTCACAGAAATAGAAATAATAATCCTAAAATTTTCTGATGGAATCAGAAAACACCCAGAACAGCCGAAGTCATTCTGAGCAGAACAAAACTGAAGGAATTACATAACCTGACTTAAAATTATACTACAGAGCTATGGGTAACCAAAGAGCATGGTAACTGGCATAACAAAAGACACATGGACCAGTACAACAGAATAGAGAGGCCAGAAATAAATTCACACACCTACAGGGAACTCACTTCAACAAAAATACCAAGAACATACCTTGGTGACAAGACAGTGTTTTCAATTAATGGGGCTGTGAAAACTGGATATCCATGTTTAGAAGATGAAACCAGACCCCTGTCTCTCATCACACACAAAAATCAAATGCATTACAGTCACACACAAAAATCAAATGCATTACAGACCTAAGTCTAAGATGTCGAACTATGAATCTACTGAAAGAGAACACTTGGGAAACTTCAGAACATTGGTCTGAGCAAAGATTTCTTGAGTAATACCCCTGAAGCACAAGCAACCAGAGCAAAAATAGACAAATAGGATCATGTCAAACTCAAAAGCTTCTACACAGCAAAGGAGACAACCAACAAAGTCAGGAGATAACCCACAGAATGGGAGAAAATATTTGCAAACTATCCATCTGACAAGAGATTAATAACCAGAATATATAAGGAGATCAAACCACTCAATAGGAAAAAAAAATCTAATAATCTGATTTTAAAATGGGCAAAATATCTCAATAGACATTTCTCAAAAGAAGAAATGGCAAACAGGCACACAGTGGCATACAAATGGCAAATAGGTATACAGAAAGGTGCTCAACATCATTGATCATCAAGGAAATGCAAATCAAAACTACAATGAGATAACATCTCACCCCACTAGAAAGGGCTTTGATACAAAAGACAAGCAACAACAAATGCTGGCAAGGATACAGAGAAGAGGGAACCCTCATACACTGTTGTTGGGAATGTAGATTAGTAAAACCGCTATGGAGAACAGCGTGGAGCTTCCTCAAAAAACTGAAAACACTGCCGTATGATCCAGCAATCCCCCTTTAACAGTCTTTGCTCCTGTAGCCCATCAGGAGAGTCAGATGCTATAGCCAAGTATTATGAAGAGGTGGCTCAGCAGTTTGAGAAAAGCAGCATTATTTCTATATATCTGTCAGTTCCAGCTGCTATTATGCACAATTATATGATGGATCCAGTGTGGAAAGATGTTAAAGAGAGCATTTGGGTATTTATCCAAAAGAATAGAAATCAGTATGTGCAAGAGATAATTGGTACTTCCAAGTTTACTGCAGCACTATTCACAATAGCCAAGATTTGGAAGCCAGCTATGTGACCATCAACAGGCAAATAGATAAAGAAGATTATATATATACACACACACACACACACACACAATACACACACACGCACAAACGTACACACAATGGAGCACTATTCAACCATAGAAAAGAATGAGATACTGCATTTGCAACAACAATGAAGGAACTAGAGGTCATTATGTCCAGGGAAATAAGCCAGGCACAGAAAGACTTCTCACTCATTTATGGGAGCAAAAAATTAAAACAACGAAACTCATGAACACAGAGAATTGAATGAAGGTTACCAGAGGTTGGGAAGGGTAGTGGGGGTTGGGGGTAAGTGAGGATGGTTAATGGGTAAAAAAAATATATAGTTAGATAAAATGAATAAGATCTACTACTTGATAGCACAACAGGGTGACTACAGTCATCATTAATTTAGTGTACATTTAAACATAAAACAGTATAATCGTAAGCTTTGTAACTCGAAGAAATGATGTTTGAGGTGAGGAATACATTTACCCTGATGTAATTATTATGCATTGATTGTATGCCTCTATCAAAATATCTCAGGTATTTTATAAATATGTACCTACTATGCCTCATATAAATAATTTTAAAAAGAAAACTACATGAGTACCATGAGATCACTTTCACTGTGAAACATGATTTACCGGCAAGACAAACTCCTCCTGTGGAGATGATGGGCATCGCCTGGTGTTTTAAGTGGATACCTGCAACACTGGAGCTCACTGCAAAAGGAACAGGAGGTGGATATGAGAACATTACAATAGTGTAATTAATACTCGATTAATAGGCTGAGTTTGAACACACAGTACACAGCATGGACACTGTAAAACTCGTAAGTGGGATCACATTATATGCAGATTGCAGATTTCGGCAATTCGACTTTTTTTTTTTTTTTTTTTTTTGGAGACAGAGGCTTGCTGTCACCCAGGCCAGAGGGCAGTGGCGTGATCTCGGGTCACTGCAACCTCTGCCTCCTGGGTTCAAGTGATTTTTCTGCCTCAGCTTCCCGAGTAGCTGGGATTACAGGCACCCGCCACCACACCTGGCTAATTTTTATATTTTTAGTAGAGACAGGGTTTCACCATATTGGCCAGGCTGGTCTCAAACTCCTAACGTCAAGTGATCCACCCACCTCGGCCTCCCAAAGTGTTGGAATTACAGGCGTGAGCCACTGCACCCAGCCTGCAATTTGATATATTTACCTGTCTTCAAGATCTTTCCTTTCTCATGGAGATACTTCAATTTTTATAAATATAGGTACATGAAATCTTTAATTGGCTTCAGTAACAAACTTGGCCTCTTTGGAAGGGCATTGGAACACAGATGCCATAAAAGAATTCTACATAATGAAATCTATTAATTATTCAGCATTTTAACAATCACAATTCAACAACTTACAGTGATCTGAAGGTCCTCAAGGTCCTAAATGACTTCTGAAATTAAATTATGTTCCGTAAAAAGCCGCTAAACTCTTTAGGTTTTGAATAAACCTAAGTAAACTACAATTTTGTTGCACTAAAATAATACCTATCTTAAAGGTGGTTTTCCTAAACTATTAGCCAATCTCTTTCTCTAAGCACTATTTTACCAGATTTTCAAGTTGATAAAAATAATGGTTATTCTCTCATTTGGTAAATACCACTTTATAACAAAGAAAACACTTCAAATACAAGACTTTATTTGTTTATTAATAAAGTAATTCATTATGACTTTTGGAAAAAAAAAGTTGTAAAATGTTCTGCGTACATGTCAATGTAGGTTAGGCCAGCCAAAAGACAAAGCAAAGCGTCAACATTAAGTCACAGGCTAGGATTATACAAATAAGAACAAATACACGGCTTATAGTACTTGTTAGGTAAACACAACCAAACTAAACTGTACTTCAAATTTGTTTATATAAAAGCATATTAAAGCTCACTTTAAAATAGTGTCCATCTTTTCTTTTAAACAGGCATAGACTCATTTGCAGTCATGTACAAATATACCTAATAGCTTTCTTCATCTTTTAATACAAGTGCAATTCCTTGCTTCTTTATGCAACCTAACAAAATAATATAGAATGAAGTCATTAGAAAAATATGAACCTTTCTGAATCTATATTACATTTTAATTTAAATTGGAAAATACAGTTTAGATCATATGAAACATATGGATTTCAGACATGTATTATCTAACAGATTATCAGAGATGGTCTTTATTTTGGCTGAAATGCAAAAATATGACTTTCTTAATAACAGATTAGTTAAAAATACTTTCCATTGATAGCAGTGCTAGTCCCTAGAACAAAAGGTAAGCAAAACTTATTTGTAAGTTACTGCCTATTCACTGCCCAGAATATGTAGATCCTAACTCTAAGCCCTTAATATACATCTGTTTTAAAGATACTGAAAGGAGATCTCACATGCCTGATAATCCTTAATTTAAACAGTCCTGTAAACATAGTCAAAATCTGCTAATAGAAATACAATTCAAGTAAACATTGCATATTTGATTTAAACCACCTTACAGTTAAATTCACTCATGACACATTGGATCATAACCACTAATATGTAAAAAGTTTTTAAAAAATCATCCTTATGTATAGATGAAAATAAACTTTGTAAACTTGTTCATTTAAAATAACTAATGTACTGCAGCTGCTCTTTGGTTTGGCATGGTTTCAGGTACTGAATATTCAAGTAAATTTGTTCCCAGGTAAACCACGTCTCCTAATTTGTTTTTAATGGCAATGGTAAGACCTGAACTTCATTTTTCTTAAGGTGTCATCACAAATGTTCAAGTGTTTGAAGGACCAAAGATAGTACTTATAAAATTTGACAGGGCTTCATTTTGATTTTTTCTCCCCAATTAGTTGATAGCAATAATCAATACCAGTTGAAATACCAAAGAGGCAGCCTTTCCCTGATTCCCACACCACTTGTAGGCCTTTGCTAGAATGGTCATTAATACGTATGAATCAGTTCAGCTAAATATTATTTAGAATGTGGCAAAATGCTGGCTGTAAATTAAACCAAAGATAAATAATTCAAAGGCTTTAACTGGAAATTTCTGAAAAGATGTTTGCTGTGCTATTATATTAAAGATGTTAAATAACAAAAATTAAAAGAACTGAGAAAGACTATACTACCATGAAAGTGCATAATAGTGAAGAAGAAAATAAAGTTTCCTTGGCGTTAGCCAGGTACATGCAAATCTTTCGATCTGAATGTAGAAATACTCACAGAAAGTACCAGGAGAACATTTCTGAAAGTAGTCACGTATGTTTAAACATTTATCTCCTTATAATATGCAAACTGCCAAACTGAAGTGATGTTTTTAGTTGGTAGTTGATATATATATTTTTTTGAGATGGAGTTTCACTCTTGTCACCCAGACTGGAGTGCACCAGACTCTTGGCTCACTGCAACCTCCGCCTCCTGGGTTTAAGTGATTCTCTTGCCTCCACCTCCCGAGTAGCTGGGAATACAGGAGTGTGCCACCATGCCTGGACAGTTTTTGGGTTTTTTTTTTTTATTTTTAGTAGAGAGAAGGTTTTGCCATTTTGACCAGGCTAATCTCAAACCCCTGACCTCAGGTGATCCACCAGCCTCGGCCTCCCAAAGTGCTGGGATTACAGGCATGAGCCACCATGCCCAGCAATAATTGATTATCTCTTAACTCTCATTCTAGTTTGCTAGAATCGAGATTATTAAGACTAAGGAGTTGAAACAAAGGTAGAAGAATCCATACTATAGTATTCCAAACTATGTTTTCAAAGCTAACTCATTCCTTTGGTTCAAAGAGAAAAATAGTTGCCTCCTTTTAAAATCTAATATTAGTATGGCTGATGGAAATTAGACCAAATTATAAACAACAAATTATAAACCTACAGTAGCAACCATAAAATTTATGCTGTACTAGGAAATGACAGAGCTATTCCTAGTGTATTGTTTAGCATATAGAAGGTACTCCAAAAAATTTACTAGGGCTGGGCGTGGTGGCTCATGCCTGTAATCCCAGCACTTTGGGAAGCAGAGGTGGGTGGATTATTTGAGGTCAGGAGTTCGTGACCAGCCTGGTCAACATGGTAAAACCTTGTCTCTTCTAAAAATGTAAAAATTAGCCAGGCCTGGTGGCATGAGCCTGTAATCCCAGCTACTTGAGAGGCTGAGGCAGGAGACTCTTGAACCCGGGAGGTGGAGGTTGCAGCGAGCCAAGATCCCACCACTGCACTCCTGTCTGAGAGACAGAGCAAGACTACCTGGAAAAAAGAAGAAAAAAATTTACTGGGTGAATGAAAAGTGATTTTGCAAAATTAGGCATCACAGAATGTTAGAAGTCATCCAGTCCAACTCATTCACAACACCCCTCCCCTGCAGTCCCATTTTACAGACAGGAAACTCCAACCTGTAGTACTCACCCACCAACGGGAAGCAATCGATTATTTTGGGGTGGGTGTGTGGGGGTGTGTGTGTGTGTCTGACTAAAAGGTGTAAAGGAGGAGTAACATTTCGACATTGTTTATTCTGTACTTTTCTTTGGAGTTAATGCAACAACTCCTGTCGCTTAGATTAGATTTAAAAGGAAAAAGAAATGTTTCTAGGCATAAAGGGGTTGCTGTTAGAAAGTCAGACTTGAGACTGTGCATCTAAGAGTAGAATCCACTTCTCAGAGACTGAGAATGTAAAATGACCACTCAGGTTAGACTTTCCAACTGAGAGCCAGGAGGAAAACTTAAAGTTTTTTTGCCTAGTTTGAATTGCATTTTAAGTCACTGTTTAAGTTGTTACAGTATTACTGTAAAAAAGTTTCAAAGTAATTTTTAGTCATTACCTACCCTGAAATTTGAAAGTCAAGTCAACAGCATGCTTTAGTCTAACTACTGTTAAAACTCAAACTATTCTTTTTTTAACAGATTACAATATTCCTCTTAGCTTTTCTTCTGGACACTTACACTTCTTCCTACTGTGTCCAGTATTTCTCCAGCACATGTACCTTTGTGTTTCTCTGCCCATGTACACACCCCTGAAAGTTCAACAACAAAAGTTATAAAATAGCAGAGAGAACCCAAAATAGTTCTTATCCTGCCGAGTTCCCTTTAAGCCTTGGGCACTTGTTCCACTACATGGTTGTATTAATGCTTATAACTAAGCTTTCGATGAATTAGACCAATGTGTTCTATGTTCTAAATGATACTTAGATATCTGAATCCTTCTGTTATGGCCAACAATAAAAGTTATTAAAAATATTGAAAAGTATAAAATAGTAATTATAAATTAGCAAATACCCAATTTAAAAAAGCATTTTCCTTATACAGTACAAGCAACAGTAATTTGAATATTATTCACTTTCAGCCACCATTTGTCCTAGATGTACTTTACTTTCAAGTTTTTAAGCTTGTGTTTTTAGAGTGAAAATGTATATGGATACTGATTCTAATAATGTAATTCAGGTATCAAAAAATACATATGCATGTTAAAATGTGATGACAGCTCGTATTATAGCATCTCATAACAGGTAAGTATTATTTCCAGAATAACATTAAGTCATTTCTGTAGCTCTAAGTCAATGCTGCACAAATGGACACTTAAGATTAAGGCATCGTTCCGCTCTGGAGCAGCGCTTCTGTGGATCCCAGAACTGTACAAAGGCTTTCCTTTTTAAAAAATATATCTTCTGTTATACTTCAGTTATTTCATTCCATTGATCATTTTCTTCCAAATGAAAATTGAAAATATCAGTCTATAATGTTTTCATACACCTACAAAAAAAGAAACAAATTGTTGGTTAAAACTTGATTTTTTTTATTTCTGAAAATATTTACTAAATGGTTCTGTGGGCTAAGGTACAAAGCAACTAATATAACAAGATGGAATATAAGTAAGTCCTTAACACTACTAATATTATCATAATAAAGATTTTTGTAGCAGTAAATGAGCGGGTATTACTTTCTTCCCCTGAATCAATCAAAAGAGTATCTTAAAAGGGAGAATCTTACAGTACTCCCAGACTGCTAACTTGGACATCATCTGAGAAGACATCTGGTCCACCTACACCTGTCCTAAGACTGGTGCAAGATGTAGAAAACTTCCCACAGCAACTGTTAAAGGAACTGCAGCTGAGGATTCTCAACCACCTCAAGCATCAGCAATTATTCCGCCCACATTAAGAAGAAACGTGGACCTCGGACTGCGGGCTTGTCTGGACACCAAGCACTACACAGCTCCAGCTCTCAGTGACATGGACCTGGCTTACGATCACCACATGCGGGTCATACAGCTCCTCTCCTGACTGCAGCCACTCTGCCCAACGTGACCTCCACCCTGAGTGCCTATGATCTGACTCTGTCCTGGGTCTTAGGCTCTGGCTGCAGCCCTGCACGCAGGCTCAAGGTCCTCTGCAGGGGCCTAACTGCTGAGGACAAGCCCACAAGTGAGGAAACAGATGCTCCTCTGGCTGACACTCCAGATAAGACGCCTTTAGAAAAACAAACTCTGTTATACAGGAACAGGATGATAAATGTGATAAGCTCCATGTTTGTGGTAATTTACTACTTAGCAATCTTCTCTTGCTGTGTCTTTTACAAACCATATAACGTAAATAAACCTCTTAATTCTTTTTTAGAGTCTTTGGTCATTTTTCTCTGGGTTGAATTTCCTCAATAGTGGACAAAAGTCGCTTTTTTTTTTTTTTCTTTTTTTTGAGACAGGACCTTGCTCTGTTACCCAGGCTGGAGTGCAGTGGTGCCATCTTGGCTCACTGCAGCCTCGACCTTCTGGGCTCAAGTGATCCTCCCACTTCGGCCTCCCAAGTAGCTGGGACTGCATGTGTGCATCAACACAAACCTGGCTAATTCTTTATTTTTTGTAGAGATGAGGTCTCACTATACAAATTTAAGTATCTCACCCAGGCTGGTCTCTCACTCCTGGGCTTAAGTGATCCTCCCATCTTGACCTCCCAAAGTGCTGGAATTAGAGGTGTGAGCCACCTTGCCTGGCCACCTTTTTTTCTTTAATTAATAAGGTACTGTTTACTGAAAAGGCCAGTGGTCCACATACCAGTCCTAAACTATTTTTATTAGTTTCTTCATTAATTTACCAACAAATAGTTACTACGATTGTGCTATAAGGAATAAAGAAAATGAGATTTTGGCAGATGTTACATTCCAGTCTTTCCTGTACTGCCTAATTTTGCTGATACAATTAAAAAGACTAAAAAAAAGAACTGCAAATTCTTTAATAAGCTGCATTTATTCAAGGATTACCTTTACACTGTCTTACCTTGTTCTTATTCAAATGGTTAGTTAGGAACAAGTGGTACTCAATTTTCTATTGCCACTGTTACATGGTTATTTGTCCCTGTAAGCACATAATTGTGTATGACATGACAAAAAAAAAAAAAGAAGTATTAAGTTTCTGGCTAAATGGTAAAAATTGATTACAGCAAAAATGACTATTATGTAAATACAAAATAGGCTTATGGTGTCAACCATTTGTCTTCTTATAGAACCCAGAAGTAAAAAGCTAACATTAGGAGTCAAAAGTTTGATTTTATGTTTATCCTGTGGAAATACCCACTGGCTTTAAAGATGTTAAACAGCAATAATTAAGAAGTTCGCAAAATGAACTTTTCCCTAGAGCTTTATTTTTTAGAGATGGGCCTCAATAGTATTGCCTAGGCTGGCCTTAAACTTCGGGATTTTTCCTTGACCTTATACAAAAGGTGTAATGATCCTAATGAAGATCCTAAAAATACTAATTTAAGAGAATGTTTTAAATGCTGCTAAAAGTCAAGACAACAAAAAAACTTCAGAAATTCTAACCGTGTTTTTAAGGGTATTTAGGGTATTTGCTACAGTTAGTACAAATGGAGCTAAATGTCTGGAATCGTTTTTCTTTTTTGAGACAGGGTCTTGCTCTGTCATCCAGGCTGAAGTACAGTGGCATGATCATAGCTCACTGTAGCTTCAATCTCCCAGGCTCAAGCAACCCTCTCGTCTCAGCCTCCTGAGTAGCTGGGACTACAGGCACATGCCATCATCAGGCCTAGAAAAATTTTTTCCCAAAGTTTTTGGTAGAGATAGGCTGTGTGGCCCAGGCTGGTCTCCAACTCCTGAGCTCAAGTGATCCTCCTGCCTCAGCCTCCTAAAGTGCTGGGATTACAGGTGTGAGCCACTGTGCCTGACCCAAAACCACTTTTCTATAGTGCAAGGAGATAATCACAGCGTTATTACTATTATCAGTAAAAATTTTCTCAGATGTGTTTTAGGCTGTAATGCTAGTTAAGTAGCCAGACAATATTTTAAACCCAGGTCTGATGAAAATTCCCACTTCAATTTTGCTGACTATTCCATACCTGAATCCTCAATTCATAAATGATTAAGAGTCACCTAAAAAAGGTTAAAATACATTCAGTGTGCTCTTTTTTTTCTTTCTTCCCCAAGACGGAGTCTCACTCTGTCACCCAGGCTGGAGTGCAGGGGTGCCATCTCAGCTCACTGCAACCTCCACCTCCCGGGTTCAAGCAATTCTCCTGCCTCAGCCTCCCGAGTAGTTGGGATTACAGGCATGTGCTACCACACCCGGCTAATTTTTGTATTCTTAGTAGAGATGGGGTTTCACCATGTTGGCCAGGCTGGTCTCTAACTCTTGACCGTGTGATCTGCCCACCTTGGCCTCCCAAAGTGCTGGGATTACAGGCGTGAGTCACCGCGCCTGGCCGGTGTGCTCTTTTTAAACTAAGGCAGCAAAGAATGCAATGCTTTTCAAGAATTATTGTCAACTAAGCAAAAGCTGGGGCCCTAAAGAATAACATTGCTGGCCAGACGCGGTGGTTCATGCCTATAATCCCAGCACTGAGGGAGTCTGAGGCGGGTGGATCATGAGGGCAGGAGATCAAGACCATCCTGGCCAACATGGTGAAACTCCGTCTCTACTAAAATACAAAAAACATTAGTGGGCGCAGTGGCAGGCGCCTGTAGTCCCAGCTACCTGGGAGGCTAAGGCAGGGGAATCGCTTGAACCCGGGAGGTGGAGGTTGCAGTGAGCAGAGATTGTGCCACTGCACTCAAGCCTGGTGACAAAGCGAGATTCCATCTCAAAAAAAAAAAAAAAAAAAAAAAAGAATAACATTGCTTATTCAGAACAGCCAATGCCAAAAGAACTTTCCACATCTGTGTGGGGAAGTATGTGGCCGGGTTAACAAAAACCTGCGGTTGCACAGAAAAAAACATGAGCCACTATACTCTCCTCGCTCTATCCCTTCCTCATAGAAGCTACTAAGAACCACAAACACGGCCGGGCGCGGTGGCTCACGCCTGTAATCCCAGTACTTTGGGAGGCCGAGGCGGGCGGATCACGAGGTCAGGAGATCGAGACCATCCTGGCT